GATATGGCGGCAGCGTCGTGTGGCGGCCCCACGGCTCCTCCTCCTCCTCCTCCTCCTCCACCACCACCACCACCTCCGCTGCGTAGCTGCACGCGGAGTCCCTTGTCCGTGACCGTGAGAACGACCTTGGGCATGTGTTTCACGTCGGGCGCGGCTTCCCAGATCTTGCGGACGGCTAGCGACGTGTCGTCACGCACGTACGTGTCGACCTTGCCGAGCCAGCGGCCGACGTAAACGTCGTCGTGCGGCCGCGTGATGACGGCCGACGTCGTCTTAAAGAACGGCAGCGGCATGCTGGCCGACAGATGGGCGGTCGGCGCCGACGCTTGGCGACTATGTAGAGCGGCCGACGACGACGACGTCGCGGTGGAGTTTGTGAGACAGTGCAGCGGTTCGGTTCGCCGACGGTAGTTCGCGCACCATAGTGGTTAGCACACGACAGGAGGCGTTGTCACGCGAAATGTCACGGAAGGTCACGAAAGGTCACGTCGGCGATCCGTCGTTCCGTAACAGGATTCCGCTGAATTCGATTTCGCGCGCGTGTTCCTACTTTTTGTTTGCTCTCACGATATACGCTCACATATATATATATATATATAAAGATGTGGATCTCTAACTATAGATGTCGGCGGTAACGAGTAACGTCTCAGCGTAGTCACATGACGGGCCGTACGGTGAGAGAACCACACATATGTGTGTGTGCGCGCGTGTCACAGGTGGGACAGGTTGGCACGGTATGGACGAGCGCAGCGGGGCAACTGACTCAAATCGTAGCGGATTAAATTGATAGCGCTGACGTCACGCACGGTGCTGCGCTCTGGCGCTCGCGTCCGAAAACATCGACCTGTCTCCGCGGTGAACGCAGAATGCTAGAAACACCGCGCTGGCGTTTTTTCTTTGCGAAAATATTACGAAGAACAGAATTAGAGCCTTAACTACAGCTATTAATTCGCGTGTTACTTGACGCGATCCGCGTGTTATTTTTCATACGCGTCTGTTTGTAAAAGAAGAGAGGAAATGGCGAGTGTGTTTACTCAAATATGACTGTGGTTATTTTCGACTGTCGCTCTGCTGTAACTGCCCCATAAGCTGTGAATTTGTGTGTAAATCGCCGCGTCCGCTATAGATGTAGGCCTACGTTAAGCCCGTGGCTCTATATTGTTAAAAGCAATACAACTCCTTCTACACAATGAGCGCATTCTCGTCAGTCTGCCCAACAGGTCGGATCAATGACTGCACAGGGCAAAAGAATATCTGCGAATGAGCTGCCGTTAAATGCAGTTCCGTCTAGTGAAACGTGTTTACGGAAGAATTTTCGTATCGTCGGTGATCCATTAATCACGCACACATATACTAATTAACACTCACTCTGACTGGTGAGGCATTAGTGAATCACAAACGAACGTGCCGAGCCAAACATCGGACCTCGGATCTCGAACTTCAGATCTCTGATCCGTTTCCAAGAATCACCGAGAAAGAGGTATAGGCCCTACGTCTCCCGTGTCTTCCTTCATTCTGGCATCATTTACAGATTTAAAATTTTACATTTACATTTAGACTAGATGTCTAAATGATTATCTAATCTTAGATCATCGTCGCACAGATAATCCCTCCCCTAACTTCCGATTGTTTGAAGATACAGCTTCGATTTCCGTTCGGTTCATTTTCTACACTGCTAACAATGTATAGTACATACACACAAGCTCTGCGACGTAATCTTGCAGCTTGTGGCGCCGTCTAGTTGACCACAAAGAGCATTTTGAGCACATCTTTTTGATCGCCGGATAAGCAACTTTCAAAACAATTCAGTTGGTGGGTCAATCGTAGACCGAATAATTCTGTCCCATATAACCTTTTTTATATTTTGGTGAGGGTTATTGGTACAAATAACCTTCACCAAAATATAAAAAAGGTTATATGGGACAGAATTATTCGGTCTAGGTCAATCGGGGTTATACAAATTTATATTGACCAACGATTCGCTAAACTCGGTCACGATTTTCACAAAATAGAGTACGTGTATGAGATCCCCCCCCCACATTAAACAACAAAATAAAGTGAATTAACTACTAGGTGCTGCAACTACGTGAAGTAACGTCATAGCCGTGACGGTAGCTCTGGTGGGAGTTTTATACTGGAGATCACAGCGCGTGGAACAGCTAATCATACAGGAGAATCCCGATGAAAGCTACGATTACGTCATATGTATATAAATGCTATTATTAGAACCTTTGTAAAACTATCAAAAAAATGTAGTAACAATGGCATTGTAACTACATCTATCACAGCTTTTGTTAATTTGAATTTGATTCTAGCACCTGGTACCGGCCAGTACCAAAGAAAGCCCAGTTAGCAAGTCGAGGTTTCTGCCACAGGTACGCTTGCTCAAAGCCAGTTTCAACACATAATGAGCAAAAAATATACGAGCGAGAAATATGAATTCTACATGGGAATTTTCATATATTCTGTGCATCCGCTACATATCTGAGAGTGCCAGTTTTCCCTGAGGGCGGATCCAAGGTAACAGGGGAGGCCCCACCCATTCCTCGAACTTTTCAGTATCATACCGGAATTTAAGTGAACTCAAATTAGCGTTTGTTTGCGTGTAAACCCTTTTCACGTTCTTACATCAGTGGGATATAGAACACGGGATGCTACACAATACGTATATACTAATTGGCTTACGTTGCATATAACGTCGTTGCATTACGTTGCATTACGTTAATCGCATACGTCTATTGCTACTCTATATACGTCTATTGCTACTCTATATACGTCTATTGCTACTCTATATACGTCTATTGCTACTCTATATACGTCTATTGCGTCT